ACAGTCTGTAATCCCATTGCTCTTACGCCAAGAGCGGGGGCAGAGAGAGGAAAATCCCCACACGCCAGAGGGCCAGTTAGCCTGGTATACGCGGTGGCAAACAAGAGACCCTGTCTCAGCCAAGTGAGCAAGGCGGAAGAGGAAAACCAACACCCAAGGCTGACCTCTTGCCTCCACAAATGCTTTGGAGCCACACTCACACATGCAACACGTGCACATCCCCACATGCCCGGCATACACATCATACCACACATACAAAGATTAATAAATAGTAAGTAAAAAAGAAAAACAGTGAACATATCCTCCATGCCATTAAAGCCAGGGTACGGAGGAAGGAAAGTGAGGGCAGATATTCAAAGGCCTCCGGGCCATGCAAGAGAGTCTGGGCCTGAGGCTCTGGCCTGGCCTGGAGGAAGGTGTACAGATCAGTACGTAGCCTGGCCCACTTCTGGGCAGAGCAAGAGCTGGAGGATGACCTGGGACACAGGCCCAGGTGGACAGTACAGGGAGGATCCGGAGGCGGGCCTAACAGCAGGTACAATCAGCAGGGGCTGCTGGGTACATGAGCGATGGCGCCACTGAAGAGGCCACCCAGGGGCCACTCACGAATGAGGAGCATGATCCTGAGTGGGTCAACCTTCCTACCTAACCCCAAGCCAGAATGCCACAGAATAGCAGTCCTGCTCTGCCATCAGCCACACACACACACACACACACACACACACACACACACACACACACACAAAATCACCCTGTGTTTCCTGCCTTTCCATGCCACGGACTGTCCAGCACAGAGGGCAGAGACCTCTGCCAAGGCCTCCTCCCTCCAGGCCCTGTAGTCCTTGTGGTCCCAGCAGAGAATCCTGACCCAGCATTGCTCTGAGTAATTGCTCTCACACTCACCTCCTGCATCTCCACAGGTGTGCACTTTAGCTCCATCAGGCCTTGGGAGAGGATGGCTGCTCAAGCTAGGCCAAGTGCTCTGGGTCACACAACACATGTTACGCTTCTATAAATGAACGGATTCTTCAACGGCCCTGTGTGGGTGACCATCTCTGCCCCTCTGAGCTTGCTGTGTCTTTGTCCAGCTCCCCCCACCCACTCACCCACCAAGGTGTTTTCTGGCCTACTGCTTACAGGCCATGGCTGAGAAATTCAGTTACAATCTGGCAGAAGACCAGCTCTGTCCTATGAAGAGCTGAATGCTATAGAACCAACCTGATGCAAACAGCTGAGAAATTGGGTTCTGGATCAATGCCCCACCTCTGTGGCCCAATCTACAAATAAAGGCACTGGGACTTAAAATATTGTTGTCCAACTATCACACAGCTAATCATGCAATCAAAAGGACTTGGCCTACTCTTGCTGCTCTCCTGTGACACATCCCAGTAACCCAACACTTCTTGTTCAGAGGTGACCAAATCCCAAACAAGAAGTCAAAGTCCCCGAAGGACTTACAGCCCTCTCAGTCCATTCCTCATGGCTGTTACAGTAGTGTCCCCTCTGTAACTACCTTCTCTACTACATGGGACTCTCTGCGGAGGGGTCCTTGGGGTCCCAGACCCATTAGTTCAGACTATTCTTTCTGCTTTCTTCGGGTCATCAAATGTAGCTTGAGCCTGTCTTCTAGGCCTTGATCAGGCTACAGTGTTCCTCCAGTTCCCTCCCTAACCTTGTGTTGTAGCTGGGGACCCAGCCTCCCTACAGGATCAACTACTTTGCAAAGGTCTCTGCTCAAGCCCTGAACCTAAGTCAACAGCTTCTGGGGCAGCTGCTCCTAGGAAAGGGACCAGCTGTGTTCTGCAGGACTTCACACAGCGCCACCTACTGGGAAGAGAAGGATGGTATGCTTGGACCTGTGCTGGGATTCTTAAAGGGGCATCTGGGAACTTTATAAAATATCCCTGCCTGGGTCTCATTCCCAGGGGTGCTGATTGGCCTGGGTTCCAGCCCTGTTACCAAGGTGATCATACAGCCACAACTCTGTGGATGTAGAGAAAACGTGGAGACTTTTCTGGATGTGACTTGTCCATGGTGTACGAGCAGACTGCAGACCTGCCTAAACTCATTATTTTTTGTGTTAAATGATTCTTTTAGTCCAATTCTTGTGCCCCAGCAGATTAACTGTACCAAGACAGCCTGAGCCTTTCCCTCTGAGGGTCACAGATATGGGGGCTCAGGTTACTCCCTGGTTTGAGAAAGAGTCAGGGCTCAGAGTCAACTTCCCTAACAGAAAATGTGCTCCCGTTTCCATACAGATTGTACCCATTAAACACTCTTCCCCAGCTTTTTGATGGCATTATACCTCATCATGGACACATTGGTCCGAATCTCTGCTTGGCCAGTATTCTATGCTTTTACATAATTTGTTTTGAAGGAGAGAGAGAAAGACAGAGAGAGAGAGACATCATAGTTAATGCACCGTGTTTATTAGGCTAAGACCTCAAAATGCAAAATCCTTGGAAGAAAGTAACTAACGGGATCTTTAGTAGTTTTAGATTAAAACTGCCAACCTAATGAGGCTCCCTCAACTTGAAAGATGAAGGACAGAGGACCGAGGAGGTTAAAGGACCACCTCCCAGCGAATCTTTCAAAGTTGAGACCCTCGCTCAAGCTTTCTAGGCAAGACAGTTATATAAGGGAATTGTTGGGGTAATGGTTTACTCCAAATTCCCAGTGGTCGTGGAAGCTGACCAACAGGGGTACCCATTAGTCAGCAGTCGCATCTGCTGTTCAGGTCCATCCATCCAGGCTCAGAAAACCCTTTGTTCATGGAAACTATGTGGGGCGTAGGTGACCTCCACCCACAAGGACTCTAAAAGTCTAAAAGTCCTGGGATTCGTGACTCTGAGCATCACTTGTGGGCTGCTGTTGTTTCTGTTTGTTCCAGTAAGAAAACATGCTGCCCGGTATAGCGTAAGGTGCCATTCATCCAAGGGTACACCCCAAGTTTAGAGAGGTGAGAACAGAAGAGGGAAAGGGGCATCGCATGATGGAGGGAACGTTAGCCTCTCCACTTCCGTTTAGCAGAGCAGCGGTGGTCCTGTGTGGGGGCCTTACGCTGGCTCCTCTCACTTGGAGATAAAAGAGTGCTTGGGAGGAAGCATCCATTTGAACAGCAGAAGCGGAGGAGCAGGCGCACCCACTCCGTGGGATCTAAGGACAGTCCTCCCTCTGTCCTCAAAAGACCTGGCCCTGAATCAGCTCTGAAACTAATGGGGTCGCCCTGGGCACGCTGCTGTTCTCTGCAGGCCTCAGCCTTCCCCATCCTCCCAGGATGGCTGGAATATTTAGACAAGAAATTGGCAGGGTACCTACCAATTATACGATGTAGGCACCTGGAGTGTGCTAATTGCTAAGAAGACTCCCAAGCAAGCATTGCTCCACGGAGGTCTATGACTACACAGAACAGATAGTCGGGGGTGGGGGGTGACCACGGAGTCACTGTGGTAAGATGGAGAACCATTTACAGGGATGAGCATCCCAGGTGTGGGCAGAGCTGGAGTGGGGAGGAGCAGGCTCCTCTAGCTTTGACCACACTAAGACGCTAAGGAAGCCTCCACTACCCATCTGGAGTAGAGGCCATTCTTAAATGAAGACCTGGGATTAGGCCAGGGAGAAGTTGGCCTTCCCAGGATCAGGTGACAGAACTGACCAGAAGTCCCTGAGTCCTGGGCAAATGGTCTTGTATTCCATATGAGGCACCTGGAATACACGTGTGGTATCTAAATGTATTCCTTTTTTCTATTTTTTTTTTATTTAATTTTACATTCCAAGCACATTTCTCCCTCCCACCCCCTTACTTCCCCCCTATCCCATGTTCAACCCACTCCTCCTCATAGATAAGGGCTCCCATGAGGAGTCAACATAGTCTGGCAGAATAGGTTGGGGCAGGGCCAGGCCCCTTTCCTGTGCATTAAGGCTGAGCGTGCCATCCCACCATAGAGAACGGACTCCAACAAGCTAGCTCACGTACCAGGTTTGTATCGTGGTCCTACTGCCAGGGGCCCCTCTAGTCCAAACTTCACAACTGTCTCCCACATATGGAGGGCCTAGTTTGGTTCCCTGGTCTTCACAGCTGTAGGTCTAGAGTCCGTGACTTTCCAGGAGCTTGGTTCAGCTGTTTGTAGATTCCTCCACCATGATCTTGACATCCCTTGTTCACATATCTGTTCCTCTCTCTCTTTGACTGGATTGCTGGGACTCAGAAATAGTAGGAAAAAATGTATTCTTAAACATCAATTACACCAAAATGGTTCTTTGGTCTCATAATCCCTGGTGGCTGACCTTGGCCTCACTCCATGACACTCTTTCTCAGAAGCAGCTCTCAGACCAGCAAATGACCAGGGTCCTATCTGGCCCCATCTCAGGGCCAAACCAGAATATGCCAGTTAGCAAAGGAGGAAACTCAGTTCCCTCCCAATCCTGTGCAGGAGTGTGAGGAACATGGGCACCTACCAGGGAGCAGGCACTGTGGACACATCCTAGCTCTCCATTCCTCCTGGATCTCTCCTCCATCCCTCTGTCCATCCTAGAAACAAGACCTCAGACAGGGCATCTTTCCTCAGTGAGCCTACTTCTTCATCCACTGTTCAAATGTGAGCATGAACCAGCAATGAAAGGCCCTCTGGGAAAGCGTGGGAGAGACCAAGGAGCACTCTGGGAAAGAGAGCACCACCAAGGAGCACTCTGGGAAAGAGAGCACCCAGAGTGGCACGGGGCCGCACAGGGTCTCTGCCTGTGGTCAGCAAGAAGCATAAATTTGGACTCAGACTTAGACTTGAAATCTCTCTGCATCTGTGGTATGTGTGTGGCCTGGCAAGTCCACCGAGCACCTGAAGCCTCCCTTTGCTTGTTTATAAACTAACAATTTCTTCCTTTCGTCCCTTTGGAAGACTAATTGGCAAGGTGCCGGAAAGTGGTCGGGTGCCCAGTGGGCAGCAGCAGGTGGCAGCTGGCAAAGCCTCAGGTGCCACCCAGTCTCCCCTATGTCTCTGCAGGTAGGTGGGGCAGCTGTCATGGCTGTGGGCATCTGGACACTGGTGGAGAAGAGCGGTTACCTCAGCATCTTGGCTTCCAGCACATTCGCCGCCTCTGCCTACATCCTCATCTTTGCTGGTGCTCTCGTCATGACAACTGGCTTCCTGGGCTTCGGGGCCATCGTCCGGGAGCAGAAGGGCTGTCTCTCTATGGTGAGTGTCCCTCTGTCCCTCTGTGGAGACTGTCTCTCCACGGTGAGGATTCTTCCATGGAGAGTGAGTGTAGGCCTATGCTGTGTGTGTGGTGGCAGGGAAGCATCACACATGTCCCCAGGTTGCGCTTACCAGACTAAGTTGGGCGCTGAAGTCACTGGGGAGCAGAGCAGGGTGGCTTCTGTGGGGACCGTGGTGGCTGTGCTCTCCAGGTATGTAGGGCCTGAGCCAAGTCAGTCCTAGCAATTGCCATGGCAGTTTCTAGAGTCTTGCTCCTCCCTCCCCTTCTCCTTTTCCTTCCTCTCTCCTTCCCATTCCTCTTCCTCCCTTTTACTCCTCTTCCTCTTCCTCCCCAAACTTCTCCCCTCTCTCCTCTTCCTCCTTCTGACCTTCCTTCCCCCTCCATCTTGCCCTTTCTCCCCCTTTCCCTCCCCCTCCTCTAGTCCCCCTCATCCTCATCTCTTCCTCCTCCCCCTCCTAGACTCTAGCAGGAAATTTCCACAGACACACCAAATTGACCCTCTGTGTCCCGTCACCCAGCGTTCACCAATGTCCTTTCCTGGTCACCATCTGGTCCTGTGCCTGTTGTGAAGCAGCACCACCCAAACACCATGTCACCTGTGTTTCAGCATGCATCTCCCAAGCCTGAGGCTCCTTTGTCACAGCTAAAACCAATCAATGTTCAGTCCTAATGTCATCAAAAAATGAGGTAGCTTCTGACTTCCCCCAACTGACCCATGAAGTGCATCCTCTTTTTAAGTTTGTTTAATTAGGCCCATGTGTTGATTTTTCTCTATCTCTATCTCTATCTCGGCATTTGTTGGAAAGTCCAATGCTTTGTTCTATCGATTTCTAATTTTTTTCTACATCCCTGTGTTATTTAACATGCACTCCTAGCAGTTCCATCAGGTTTAACTGATTTGATCATCTGTAAAGAGTATTTCATGGCTGGTATCTGCAGGTACCATGGGCTCCATGATGCTTCCTCCTTCTTGAGGGTCTGGGGAGACACCCATAGCAGCTACTCAAGGTCAGGAAAGAGCCACAGAGGACCCAGCAGGGACCCTGAGGCTGAGACCACCTCAGACCCCATACACCCAGTACCCCATTGGCTGTGGCTGATGCCCCATAACCTAGAGGCCTCTCTGTGGCCACCTCAGAGGAGCAAGTCTAGTGTTCAAAAGAGAAGAAACAGGGAAAACAGAAAAGTGCTTGGGCCTTTCAGGGAGACCTAAGCTACAAAGTAGATCCAAATTTCAAAGAGAAACCAGGCTGGGCCTGAAAGAAAGCAGGCGACGGGCGGAAGCTCCACAGGGCTCTTGAGCTCCCTATATCCACCCTGCTCCCCACCTTCCTATACCACTATAGACTGTGCTGCTTGCTCTGCCTTGCAAGCTGAGTCCTACGGAGTGGGAGGCAGGGGCTGCTGTGTGGAGCCTGAGGCCTGGCCCCTGCAGCAGCTCTCAAAGCAGCGACCTAGTTTTTGGCCTGGATATAAAAGCAGCTCTGTGCAGGCCCAGCTGGATGGCGCTCCCATTTTAAAGAATTCCTTCATTTTGCTTGCAGGGAGAGCCTGCAGCCAGGGTGCTGGTGATATATAGGGTAAAGTTCCATGCGGGACCAACCTTTAGGAAACGCTGAGCCTTTTTCCAGCAGTGGGCAGAGGTCCTGGGAGGCAGACATAGCCTGCCTGGCTGTCACTTATGCAGCCTGGCAAGAGCATGGTCTTCTCTCGAAGCCCATAGGAATGGGTCTTGGGAAGCCACACACACACACACACACACACCACCCTCCACACATACACACACTCACACACACACACACACACAGCACCCTCCACACATACACACACTCACACACACACCCCAACCTACACACACACACACACACACTCACACACCCCATCTACACACACACACACATACACACTCATATACGCACACCCCACCCTACACACACACACATACACACACACTCATACAAACACACACCACCCTCCACACACACACCACCTTACACACACTCCACCCTTCACACACACACATACCCCACCCTACACACACACACACACACACACACACACACACACACACACACACCCTAGAGCCAGGGGCTGCTCAAGTGCCTTACACAGAATGGTACAGTGGTCACATATAGTCTATATCCATTTTCCATCTCTTTAAAATAATCTTTAGCTGCTCATCATACCAAATACCATGCAGATGCCACTTAAATAATCGTGTCTTATAGTCAAGGGCTAATGGTGACATTCTGCACACACTAAGTACAAACACACCATAGCAGGCCAGAGTCCCTCACATGCCACCCAGTGCTAGTTGGGCCCATGGATATAGAGGGCCAACTCTGTCTCCAATAGATGATGAAGGTCCCTGAGAGTCTTTGACCATTTGGCTGGAAGAAGACACTGGGGTGTAGCTGAGAGCTCTCGTGTGCTTCACTGACCAGACCTCATGGGGACAGAGTCTCATGGCCAAAGAAAGACCTCTTTCCTTTGCGGATTTAGTTCCTGGGTCTGTGTCCTGCTGGGCTCTGAGGGGCCTGAGGGCCTGGGTGAGCTGTTGCCCTTGCTGCTGGGACCCGACCCAGGAAATCAAGCTGCTGAGCCCTGTGCCTCCTCCTTTCCTACCATAGACTCTGCCTTACAGGGCATCTCAGGGAACAAGAAACAAAGGAGAAACCTTCTGCTGGGGAGCCCAGGGTTCCCTCTTGACAGACTCGGTCCCTTGAGGACCCAGCTTCTGACTCAGCCATCCATCTCGGGGGTGATGTGTCCCCAGCAGCCTTGGGAAGCAGTCTCTGCTGACTAGGCACAGCTTGCTGATGACACAGATGGCCACTGTTCACTGAGCGCCGCCTGCTGCTCCTCACACTCCACCAACCCTGCGAAGGCACTGCCAACTGCACTGTTCCCAGCGCCGGTGCGGTGCGTGCTAACTCACTCAGGCCTCGCCTGCCCACATAGCTGCTCAGCCTCATGATGTGCACTTGACAGGAGCTGGGGAGCAGGGACAGGTGGAGTGACCTGCCTAGAGAGGGCTCGCTGGGAGGAACGTGAAGGGAACAGGCTCTGCCACGGAGGTAAGAGGTAGGAAGCAATTGACCCGTCAGGGAGGAGTGGAACACACAAGGAGAGGCAGAGGGATGTCGCTGGTGCCTTTGAATGTCAGCAGGTCAGAGTTGGGGCAAGTTGGGAAGGGAAATTTATGTCTGATTCACCTGGTCAGTAGTTACTGGGGTGCTCACAACTGGGTGGTTGAGGCAGTGAAAAAGTACAATGCACACCTATAAGCAGAGGCATATGGTCCATCTTCTATACTCAGACCTGGTCCATCTCCTGTAGTCTGACTGGTCCATCATCTCCTGTAGTCTGACTGGTCCATCTCCTGAACTCTGACTGGTCCATCTCCTATAGTCTGACTGGTCTATCATCTCCTGTAGTCTGACTGGTCCATCATCTCCTGTAGTCTGACTGGTCCATCTCCTGAACTCTGACTGGTCCATCTCCTATAGTCTGACTGGTCTATCATCTCCTGTAGTCTGACTGGTCTATCATCTCCTGTAGTCTGACTGGTCCATCATCTCCTGAATTCTGACGTGGTGTACCTCCTATCCCCAGAGAGGCAAGAGTCACTCAGTCTTTACAGCTAAGGAGCTATAGGTCTGGAGATGTGGCGTGTCAGTGAACCCAGCATGCAGGACTCCCATCTACTTCCCCCAAGCTTGATGGTTCTACAGTCATGTCTAGAATCTGCCCAGAAAGTTGAATAAAAGAGCATAATATCCAGATATGCTCTCAGATTAGAGATACATGGGACAGTCGGTCTGTCTACCTATGACTGCACGTATGCACACACGAACATGCACACATATACTCTTACACACATGCATGCATGCACACACACACAGATTCCGAACCTTCTTTTTCAACACATTCTGAAAGTTTATCAGACCTCCAACTGAGGTGGGAGGTAAGGGCCCCTTTGGGGACCACCCACCCACATATTACAGAGCTACCCTCCCTCACCAGGCTGCCTGCTCTCTGTGGCACCCTAAAAGCACTGACCCCATGGCCAGTATCTCCACTTTGGAGTGAATTAGGGAACAAGCTGCCAGGAAGGGACTCCAGAAATCACCTGCATTCTTTGCATTTCATTTGGAAAGAGGCCAGAGGTCATGAATCATGAAAAGGATAAGGGCCTGTGCCCTGCTAGGAGGCAAGAGGTGGAGAAGACAGCCATCCATGCAGTAGATAAGGCCCTACCCTGGAGCTTGTGACTTCACCAGACTTTCTGGGTCCAGGCAAGTGTCTCTGGCTAAGAAAGACATGGAGAGAAATGTGTATGCAAGGGGCTAACAGGAAAGTGTGCTGGGCTTAAGGTTAGGGGGAGGGCTCATTCCATCCAGCAGGCCACAAGAGAGGTTTTCCTCCCTTGAAATCTGAGCCCTTGCCATTTGGGGCCTTTCTTAGTGAGCCCAACAGAGCCAGCTGGTTGGCCCTGGGTCTCTGTGCAGCCTCTGCAGGGTCTGCTCTTTGGGGCATTTGTGCTGAACCGGGAAACGTTCTTCAGTTCTGTTGAAAACTAGAGCCTTCGCTGTAGGATCTGACCCTTGGGGATCAGACCAAAGATTAATGTGCTACCAAACAGAGTAGCACAGGGGACCACTCTATGGCTGAGTAGAGGGCAAGGCAAGACAACTTAGAGAGTCACGGGGGAGGACACAGTCAGGCTGTGGGGGTTGGGTCCTGGTACCCTTCAAAGGTCTTGCTGGTGGATGGAGGATGTGGTCTCAGCCAGGCTGTGGGTACGCTGGGAGTAGCGGCCCTAAAAATAACTGATAATTTAGGTCCCTTCTCAAAGGAGTTTTGCTATGACATGTTGATTAGAGTGTGTTTTATGGTCTTTACATAACGTGTCTCCCTGGACCTTATGTCCCCCCACACCATCTCCCCTGTCACAATGGGGTTACTACGTGGCTAG